CTTAGTGGCAGGAAGCAGGAGAAATAGCTCAGTGGTTTGAGCATTGGCCTGCTATACCCAGGGTTGTGAGTTCAATCTTTGAGGGGGCCACTTAGAGAGCAGGGGGCAAAAATCAGTACTTGGTCCTGCTAGTGAAGGCAGGGGGCTGGACTCCATGACTTTTCAGGGTCCCTTCCAGTTCTATGAGATAGGTATATCTCCCTATATTATAAAGCTGCCCAAGAGTCAGACACCCAATTTCCATGAGAATTGGGCATCCAAATCCCCTTGGTGGCTTTGAAAACCCGGCCATAAAAGAGTTACATGGGCTGGAAAGATACAATATTTTCTCCCCTCCTCTGCTTCTCCTCCCAGGACGGCATGGAAACACTCCCCTGAGGGTGCTGGCAGCAGCTGACAGAGGCCGCACTTCAAGGCGCTCCATGCTGTGGGGTACTAATTCTGCAAACTCCCGCAGCAGGTACATGAAACCCTCATTCCAAACAGCAGCAGCTTCTAACGTACCCTCCTATAGTGTTAAAATGGCTCTGGCTCTTTGTGTAGAAAAGAGGTTATGTGCTCAAAACGCCCCCTTGTGCCTGTGGCAATTGGAGTGGATGGTGCAGGTCTGTAATCCTCTTAAAGAGATACCACCATCACTCGGCACAAACAATCCAGTCTCAGTACAGCTGAGAAAGGGCTACTGTGCTGCTGGCACAGTGCTGCTGGTCAATAGGTTACTGCTTTTCTGGGCACCCTGGAAGGATGGAGGGAGAAACAAAGCATGGAAGAGGACCAGAAGAGACCCAGAGATAAAAAAGAATCATTCATTAGTAGCTGAAAAACTCAAGTGTTGGGAGAGAGTTCAAATTCTTCTTTAACCTTAGCCTTTCCCGCCCCATCCCACCTGGAAGAGATCCCAGCACCACAGAAACTTTATCTTAAACATTATTGGCATTGGAACTAGAAAGGCTGTTAAAGGTGCACCTGTCAAAACCTCAGTGTCCTATTTTTGCCATCTCCTAACTTATTATGGTCTAACCCATCTTAAAGTGTGCCTGTTTTCCGAGCAGTAGCTCAGTAAAGATGGCATCATGATTCCCTGTTTATTGTCTTTCAATGATTCCCAGTTTGTTTAATCAGAAAAAAAAATATCTTTTCATTTGCAAACTCAACCTAGACTGCAGCAAACTCAATCTGCAGGGACAACCTAGAATATGAAAGTCAAGCTGGGTCTTGTCTGGCTCCTACCGCCTCACCGTCAGTAACAGAAACCCTGTCACTGGAATTCAGCAGCGATTCGGCGGATGGTGCAGAACAGAATCCTAGTCGTTCTCCCGGTACTAAGTCAGACTAACAAGCTGCACAATCACATTATAGCCGGGAAAGGAAGTACCTAGGACTCTGAAGACACAGAGAGCGCGTCTCTCTCAGATAGGAAGTTGCCACACGTGTAACTCGCCTCAAGCACAGCAAGCCCCAGACCCCAAACACATCATAAAGCACTATTAAGTCAGAGCTTTACAGACTTCTAGAGGGAGAAACAAGATAGCTTTGAAATCTGGACATTTCAGGCACACGCCACACCAAATGTTCTTCTTTGGACAGAGACAGTCTTCCCCTCTGCTCCATATAGCACTGAACACACGTACAGTACAAAAACAGATACCAATGGCAGAGAAGTCAAACAAGATTAGACACTGCATATGCCGAGCCAATTGTTGCAGCCTCTCCACTGGCTGCAGGATCAGGTCCCTTGTTGGCTGCTGTTATATGTTCATAATTATCACCAGTTCCAGAAGCAGTCAGTGTGAGTATAATATTAATGTCTCCATTGCCAGGGAGCCTTCGCAAACCAATTGACATAAACAAGTTGCCAAATTAGTAGTGACTTCTCTGTCATAGCAACATTCATATTGTTTATCACTGTTACAAAGTTACATTTAATGTATGTTCTGTTTACAATGCATGAACTCATTTATCTTGAATCACAGCTCTCCAAGATACATTAAGACAGATTGAAATTCAACATATGAGGCATTCTGCTGGCTTAACAAAGACAGACACTCTCTGTCTATTGGTGCACAACCCACCACGTATTATATCGGTCTGCCTTTCATCAAAGTCAGTGGCAGAATTCCCATTCAATGGAAGCAGGATTGTCCCTCCTATTTTTTGTATTAGTGTTCTAGAACAGTAGTAGTCCCTAACAATAGGGATTGTAATGGGATTCAGAGCCTTTCACCATTAGATCACCAGTGTAGGTTGACCAGACAGCAAGTGTGAAAAATCGGGACAGGGTGTGTGCGCGCGCGCGTGTGGTAATAGGAGCCCATATAAAAAAAAAGTCCCAAATAGCAGGACATCTGGTCACCCTACCAGTATGGAACTAAGCTAGGGCACCAGTGACCAACCAAAAAAAAAAGTTACCAGTGATCATCTGATGGCTGTTCACGGACATACAGGGAATGAGTTGGCTACACAGTTTAATTCACAGTAGACACATCATGGGAAACCATCATAATGCACATCATTGCTTACAGTGTCAGAGGCCAAGGACTGACGGGACAGGCAACTGCCCACTTTCCACTAGAGATGGCCCCCCCAGGTCAAGGTTGAGACAAGCTGGTACACTGGTGAAGCTTGCCCTGGGGCTGCCTGGGCCAGGCCTCAAGAACTTCAGTCTCCACAGCTGTCATTCACATATATGTGCAAAAGAATTATTTGATCTGAATTTGTATTTGTAATTTATCGGAGGGGGGGGGAATAATCTCATAATTAGAAATTAATCTGGAACATGGTGGTATTAAGATAGGATCCAGTCTAGTGCCCACAGAGGTCAAGGACAGTCTTCTGTTGCCTTTAGCAGCATTTGGATCATACCATTAAACTACATTTGTTTTGGTTATTGGAAGTCATCCTATTGGACTTACCACTCCTGATCCTCTACTGTATCCAAAAGTCAGTGTCAAAAGCATCTCCTCTTGCCGCCTGTGAGACCCTCGCTTGTCCTTCCTGTGACTGCATAGCACAGTTATGCAAGGCCTGGCCCAACGGGCCTTTCCACTGCCTTCACTAGGCTTTGGATCAGGCCCTCAGCCAGTCGAAGGAGGAGTCAAAACTTAAATTGCCTTAAATGTCACGCAACTTCTCTCCTTGCTGGAGTGTACAATTTGTACTCCCCTCCCC